TCGTATTTGAAATGTGGATTATCATGTGATGTTAGTTTTTGAACTAATGACTTACTCCCTTTTGTTTTGTGTGTTGTTTATGATAATCCCATTGTAGGTAAATGAAGGATTTTGAGAAGGAAGCTCACTTAGGAAGCTTTTGTGTTTATTAACTTGATTGTTTTTATTGCTACTTGACGTTGTAGTTAATTTGATAACATTATGGGATGACTGTAAATTTGATTAGGGCAATTACGGAGATATGTAGTTATGGACGTTATAACTCTGGAAAATCCATAACTGGTTGTATGCGATAATTGCTAATCGAATGAATTATGTTTTTCCGCAACATAAATTTTTATGATAATATAATAGGGTAAAGTGTATTTTCAAAGAGTGTTTCATGAGGGTTTTTAAGTAAATTTATAGATGTATGTAAGAGAGGATGAAAATAAATGAAAAAATTTCAAGGGTAGAATTTGGGTCCTTACACAAGTCATTCACAATACCACGTAGGGCAAGTCATTCACTACTCAACCTTTTAAGGGAGCTAAAATAGATTTTATTCCCATCGTTTCACAATCATATACAACCAGAAAATCCATGCATTTTAGAACATTATATATCATTTAAATACTTCTCTTACAACATTTCAGCATAATATCCACAACTACAACCATGTTAAAATAATCATACTCATCCCATTCTTTACTCTATATATAAATAGCTCACAACACAATCATTATCATACAACATATTAACGATAGAACCATTTCTCATTACGGTGTATTACCATAAATGAGCATATTGAATTTTAATCTAATAAAACGGTTTTTACCACTCATACATCTCTACATTTATGGCTTAAAACTCTTCATGGAAAATAAAGACTCTAACATGTACCACAAACTCCCAAGAGAGTTTCTATCCGTTAATATTCTCTAATTCTTGAGGGAAATCGGAGAAGATGACTCTAATGAAATACTCAATGACCACAATGGTCTTCTCCCTCACCTTAGGTTGCGTATGCTCCGTTGCTCCGCAAAAGAGCCACACTCCCTTCATCTTCTCCAACCGCCATTGTTGCTTTTTCACCTTTAAGATTTCCCAAATGTGCCACCAAGAAGTAATAGGAAGGGGTTTTGATGAGTTTTGAGGTTTAGTGGATGAGAGAATGGTTCATTTGGGTGAAGCCGCCGTTGGGAGAGAAAGGGGAAGAGAGAAAATGAAGATTAGGGTTTTTAGATCCCATTTTCACTTTTATATCAGCGTGGTCTCGCCCGGGCGAGAATTGCTCGCTTGGGTGAGAAGCCCACGACATTTTAAATTTCAAAACATTCACCTCTCGCCTGGGCGAGATTCTCTCGCTCAAGCGAGAATCTCACAGCCTTCCCAGGCTTCTCTCGCTCAAGCGACCATTTTCTCGCTTGGGCGAGTTTCCTAGAATTATCCAATTTAAAACACTAAGCCTCTCGCTTGGGCGGGGCCCTCTCGCTCAAGCGAGAATCTAGCAGTAGGTCCCATTCTCCAGGATTGTTACATTATCTTAAGGAGGATAAATTTAGGGTGTTACATATTTAAGCTCAAAAAGGCCCTTTATGGCTTGAAACAATCTCCAAGAGCTTGGTATGATAGATTGAGCTCATTCTTATTAGAAAAATGGTTTGTGAGGGGTAAGGTTGATACAACTCTTTTCATTTTCAAATCTTTAAATGATATCTTATTAGTTGAAATATACGTTGATGATATTATATTTGGTGCTACTAATGACAATTTGTGTGAAGAGTTTTTGGACGTGATGAAAGGTGAATTTGAAATGTCGATGATGGGAGAACTTACATTCTTCCTAGGGTTGTAAATAAAGCAACTGGCCAATGGGATCTTCGTCCATCAAGCTAAATATTGCAATGAGCTAATGAAGAAGTTTGGAATGGAAAAATATAGACAAACATCAACTCTCATGGCTTCATCTAACATATAGTAGACCCGATATAATATTTAGTGTGTGCATGTGCTAGATATCAATGATTGCCTAAAGAATCACATTTTTCTGCCCTTAAGCTCATCATGAAATACTTAAAAAGAACCTTAAATACGGGATTGTGGTATCCTGGAGAAGCTTCGTTATCTTTGATATGGTACTCCGATTCTAATTTTTTTTGGGTGCAAGTTAGATCGTAAGAGTACAAGTGAAACCTGCCACCTTTTAGGTGGTTCCCTAGTTTCATGGTATAGTAAAAAGCAAGTGTGCGTTGCTTTATCCACCGCCTAAGTAGAATATATTGTTGTGGGGGGTGTGTCGCGCTCAAATCCTTCGAATGAAGCTTCAACTTTTAGACTTTGGTCTAAAACTTGATAGGATTCTTATCAAGTGTGATAACACTAGCACCATAAACCTATTTAAGAATCTCATTTTGCATTCAAGAACCAAGCATATAAAATTTAGGCATCATTTTCTTAGAGATCATATTCAAAGAGGTGATTGTGTTATTGAATTTGTTAAAACCTCTAAACAATTGACCGATATTTTCACCAAACCCCTACCAAGGGATACCTTCTTCATTCTCCAAAGATAATTAGGAATTCTTGATGAACAATATCTAAGCTAGTTTGCCTTGAGCGTTTGTGTATTCAAACAATATCTTGTTTGAATGCATAATTCTTGGTCATAATTGTATTTCATGCTTGCTATGTGTGATAGTGTGTTTCTGGTCTTAGGATACATCTATGTCTATAGTATGTGTAGCATCATCTAAGTGTCACACCCTACGTACTCAAAACAATGACTGTTACTTCTGTTAATCGATTGTCACTTACTTTAATCAATTACCTGGCCCTAGCTGCTCTAGAAAATTATTTTATAAATTCTAATTAATCGATTAACTTAATAGATAATCGATTACATGGGCTCCATTTGTTTCTTTGAAAATATTTTTGAAAAATATTTAATCGATTATTAATAAATTTAATGGATTACCTCAAAAATTGGTTAAAAACAATAATCGATTAAATGGGTCATTAATCGATTAACGACATCAATAAAACAGTTTCAGGTACTTCGTCTAGAGTTACTCATGTTCCTCCTTAATCTCAATTGTTCTCTGGTCTGGTTAGAAATTAAGTTCAAATATCTTCAATTTATTCTTCCTAAGTGGGTTCCCATAAGTCATCCCAACACAAGGTCATCCAATTTCATCTTAAATTCATCAATTTTAGTTTTCCCCTCTTTAGAAACCCTAAGGTTTTACGTTTCTTAATCGATTATCTCTACCTAATCTTGAATTATGAGTGAACCAAAGTCAAGAAGAGTGAACACCACAACAAAAAGGCAAAGATACATGGAAGTTGGTGGTTCTTCCTCGGCTGTAGGCGGCAGAACCGCTGAAATCTTAAAGGTTATGTTTGGCATTGCATCTTCATCATCAAGGCTGCTTGCATACGAGAACTTCATATCCAGGATAATCGATCACTTGGAGATTAATACCTCCGAGGTGTACTTCATATTGACTAACACCGGTGAGGATTTGGTCGGTGACAATCTAATACATAAGATGAGTAGTTACATGTATGATGGTACATGGATGTATCTAAAGGACAACGAAACCATTTTAGACCTTGATTTTTCAGACGAAGAGGGTAATGAAAGCATGCCTTAGCATAATCCTGATCTACCACAAGCTGAGGCTTCTCATGTGCCTCAGGAACCATCGCTTGGATTGGCTCATTTGGACGCTCTAGAACAAAGGTTCAATGAACGTATTAAATTTAGATTCCAATCCCTGAATGAAAAGATTTACTCTGGATTACTATCCATATATGATAGAGTTTCAGTCGATGTTCAACGTGAGGCAAAGAGAACTAGAAATGAAATGGATTGAATCTCCTTAATTATGCAAATAATGTCTAGCTTAGCACATCCTCCTCCACAACCCTCTGAGTAGTCTAGTTTAGAACTCTAGTGTGTTGTCCTAGGTAGCTTATGGTCTAGGAGTGTTTGTGTTCTAGTTTATGTCTTGTGTTTTTGAACTTCTATTTGGCTAAAGTTTGTGTAACTCTAAATTCTGCACTATTTGTCGTTTACTCACATTTTGTGTTAATTTAACTTTGATTTGCAATGTTATAACTGATGTTTGGTCTTACATGATCTATTTATTGGTTATTCTGCACAAACTATTTAGGCCTCAATTACATGAAATCTGCATCTGTTCAATTTTTATACTACTTTAATCAATTATTCACTCCTTTAATCGATTAAGAGAGTTTATAACTTTAAATCTTTTCTTCTTTTGGCTATTTTATTCAATTTAATGGCTTTTGATCATGCCAAAGGGGAAGAAAGTGTTGTTTGATTTGTTTGTAGGTTGTACATGTCCGCACCCACCTAAGTAAGAGGGATAATGAAGTTAACCAACCTTACATACTTCATCGTGCATATAGATTAAGGGGGAGAATAAAGTGAGGGGGAGCCACGCACAACATTTATACAACTGTTGCAAAGAGCGAATCAGTTAGTCATCAAGCTTATCACTGATTGTATATTTCAAAGTTTGTCATCATAAAAAAAAGGAGATTGAGATTGCAAGTGGAATCAATGTGAAATGTTGCAACAACGATCTTCTGATTTGGTTTCGATGAAGACAGAGACACAATGGAAAATCTTGAATACATGACAAGTCAACAAACAACATATCATAGCTCAAGGTCGTCTAAGGCTTAGGGAAGTTATTTTTCTATATTTAGAAGTCTTAAGATGATTGCTTAGATTGAGTCTAGATAGAGGTATGGCTTCTGACCTTGGCACGGTATTGATGAAGACACCATCATCACATAAAGAAGAAAAAGAAGAATGCTTATGAAGACAATGAGGATAAAGCTTCAATATATTTAGAGTCTAAGTCTATAGGTACTTTTATCCTTATACTTTATAATATACGATTAGTAATAATGCTCAAAAGTATATTTAAAAGAAAATTGGAAATCACAAGTATAAATGAAAACAATTTTCAAAATAGTGTGTAACAGGTTAGTGGGTCTAAGTTACAGGTTACTGGATCTAAGTAACAAATTAATATGACTAAGTAACAGGTTATTGGAACTACGTAACAAGTTACATGAGTGAGAAATGAGTTATCACATTGTTAATCGATTACTCTCTTTTGTTAATCGGTTACTTGGTATTAGAGTAACCGATTACTCAGCGTAGTAATTGATTACTCAGTTGAACATAATGTTTGGGTAATCGATTACCTCTATATTGTAATCAATTACTGAGAACTGTTACACCAGAGTAACCGATTACTCAATATGATAATTGATTACTCAGTTGAACAAAATGTTTGGGTAATCGATTACCTCTATGCTGTAATCGATTACTGAGAGTTGTTACACCTGTTTTTCAGATTCAAACTGAACAGCTTTCATCCCAAACGAAATGGTTTCATTCTAATCGAATCGTACCATTTCTTGGAGGTGTATTTAAGCATCTAATTGTAATAACAATAAATGTAGAATATTTAAGCATCATCCCATATGAAGCATCTCTTGGCTACTACAAATTCAACCAAAATCATACGCCTGGTCAAATGCTAAACACAAAGAAATATCAAATGTAGCAACATGTGATCTACAAGAAGAAACCTCTGACTGATGAAAATTCAAGCCATACAATAGGAGCTAATGAAATATAAAACAAAAAGCAATATTAAAGGATGAATCCCTTTCAAAAGAGAAAATTCACGACTACAATAGCAAGTCAAGTTCAATGATTTATGGATGAACAAATCTCTAAGAAGAAAAGAAGCCCTACAACGTGTCCACCGATGTCACTTGGTAATTTTATGAATAAGATTAAAGAACAACTTCAACTTGATCGAGAACATGAAGATGAGCAAGAAGATGAAAATGACCATAAAGGTGAAAATGAGCATGAAGGTGAAGAGAGAGAAGAAAATGATGAGTTACAAGAAGCTGGTGGGGATATAAACTATCAAAATGAGTAAGGTGATGAAACAGGTGATAGTAAAAACCAAGGTACCGTTAGTGTTTTTGTAATTTACAATTTTTTTTGTTATTTTTATTCTTTTTCAATTTACAAATTTTATATTGTTTAGTTATAAATATGTCAAGGGGTAACATAAAAAAGAAAGTGTGGGAAAATAAAATGTTTGGAAGCTCATGCACGATCACTTGAAGATAGAATAGAAATCATTTTCGATTAATATGGATTACCAAATGAACCAAATCAAAGAACTGTTGTTAAATTTAGTAATTTCTTAAGAACAATGGCTAGGAGTTCAGATTTTTGTCCCATTGTTCACAATAACTGGAAGGCTGTACCTAAGCATCCTTTCAACAGTTCCTAAGAAATTACTAAATTTAACAACAGTTCTTTGATTTGGTCTAATTGGCAATCCATATTCATTGAAAATGATTTCTATCCTATCTTCAAGTTATCGTGCATGAACTTCCAAGCATTTTGTTTTCCCACGCTTTCTTTTTTATGTTACCCCTATTTGACATATTTATAACTAAACAATATAAAATTTGTAAATTGAAAAAGAATACAAATAACAAAAAAATTGTAAATTACAAAAACAGTAATGGTACATTGGTTTGTACTATCACCTGTTTCACCACCTTGCTCATTTTGATGGTTTATATCTCCATCAGCTTCTTGTAACTCATGATTTTATTCTCTCTCTTCACCTTCATGCTCATCTTCACATTCATGGTCATTCTCATATTCATGCTCATCTTCACATTCATGGTCATTCTCATATTCTTGCTCATCTTCATGTTCTCGATCAAGTTGAAGTTGTTCTTTATTCTTATTCATAAAATTACCAAGTGACGTCGATGGACATCTTGTAGTGCTCATTTTCTTCTTAGAGATTTGTTCATCCATAGATCCTTGAACTTAACTTGCTATTTTAGTCATGAATTGTCTCTTTTGAAAGGGATTCATCCTTTGATATTGTTTTTTGTTTTGTATTTCATTAGCTCCTATTGCATGGCTTGAATTTTCATCAGTCACAAGTTTCTTCTTGTAGATCACATTGCTCCATTTAATATTTATTTGTGTTTAGCATTTGACCAGCGATATGATTTTGGTTGAATTTGTAGTAGCCAATAAATGCTTCATTTGGTCTTGTATTTTATGATTATCAATTGACCCTGTTGCTGAAATCTTCTTTCCCTCTTACTTTGAAGTGCACCCCTTAGCTTGAGTGTTGGAAGTTGAAATGTTTTGCTTCTTCAAAGGGTTATCATTTTTCACTTGAGTTTCATACATCTTTGTCAATTCAGCACTGGAGCTACCTTGAAATTTAAGCTCAAAACTTTTTTTTTGTTCATTTCCTACACAAGTTTGAGAACCAATCAGCATTTTGATAGGATAAAAAAATCTTACAACATTAAGTAAATAAAAGAATTTCCACCAAAAAAAATTACATAAGGTGTAAACAATTCTAAGAACGTAAACAATTCTAAATTTACTTCCTGCCAATTTATCATATTCTACAACTAAAATGAAGGATTCTATCAAAAAAACTTGGAAAGTAGTAGAGTTTCCAAATCTAAGTGCATAAGCAGAAAGATCTGAATGCAATTTACACCACTATAAATAACCTGCCAATAAAAAAATCATTTAGGCATGCTCCAAGTTATTTAGTGTAAGAAATAAACGCACAGTTACTTCTTCGTTATACACAAGCTTGCAATATACATACTCCCTAGAGCCTGGAGTAAATAACAGAAAAAATGATGCAGTAAAATCATGATAGAACCTAAAACCCCAAATCAAACAAAACCCAAAATCAAACACAACCCCCAAATCAAACAAAATCCAAAATCAAATAGAACCCTAATTCTCACCAATAATCAAACACAACCCCCAAATCAAACCCTATATTGAGTCCAAATCATATATTATAATGAAGTGTGATATCAAACTCACCATGGAGAGTGAAACCGAACCCCTTAGCAAACGAGAGTGTAAACAAGAGAGAACAAGATAATGAAATGAGAACAAGATAACGTGAGTAGAAGAAGAAAAAGAAGAAGTGTGGTAAAGAGTGAACGTGAGTAGAAGAAGAAGTGTGGTAAAGAGTGAACATGAGAAGAAGTTTGAGAAATAGTTTGAGAAGAAGGTTGAAATGGTGTTTAGAGGTTAAAGAGTGGTGATAGATGCTTGGTTTTTAGAGGTTAAAGAGGGGTGATGAGTGTTTGGTGCTGATTTTATAAAATAATAAATAATAAATTGTGAACACTTATTTTTGTTGAGCTTATTTACAAAATAAAAAATATATAAATATTTTAAAATTTCAAAAAAATTTCATATTTAGGTGTTTCATAATCAACTTTATCTTAACTATTCAATTATAATCTATTAGAGGAGTTTATTTATAATTAATAATATGTTTAAAAAAGGTTTAATAATAATTACACAAATAGTTCAATTAGAATGTTACAAATTGATGTATTTTTAGAGAATAGAAAATGAAAAGAACTTGGAGGTTTTGAGTTAAGTTACTGAGTTATGCAAGCTTAGTAGATGAAAAATCTTGAAAAAGGAAAACCGTGACAATTATGATAGAATGATATGCTTAATGGAAATAATGGTTAAAAGTCTTATGGCTTCACTCCATAACATAGGCACTTATGATAAGTTTGTCTATTTACATATAAAAAAACACATACGGAGGGGAGGGTAGATGATCTTTCACACTCCAGTTCCGCCTAATTTTTTCAACACTCCAAACTTCATGTCTATTTTCCATTCGTAGTGCCAACGTAGTTTTTAAAAGTGAAAGTTTCAAGGCATTTACCTTCATCACCACTATGCTTCAAAAATAACCACCTTGCTTCACGAATGCCAACACCAGCCACTGCACCCCGCTTTCAGTGCAGCCAGTCCAGACACGCAAATTCTCTATTTATGATCATGGAGATACTACACCCTGTGTTGCAACTTTGAGAAAAGAGAGAAGAAAAGGAATTAAGATTTCTCACAAACAAAAGGATGATCAACAACACAACACCTTGTTTTGTTTTCATATACTCTCATCATGTTGGGAATCCTTCCTAATTGATGTGGAAGTATAACCAATGCAACTTGGTAGATGAACCATTGTATGATGACTCTTTCAATGACTCTTGGAAAGTATGAAGCCTAACTTAGAAAGTTTGAGTAAGTCTTGGAATTACTCTTTGACTATTGAGAACCATTTAATGTAATTTAGAAAGTTGGAGTAAGTCTTGGAATTACTCTTCGACTCTTGAGATGCAACTTAGAAAGTTGGAATAACATTTTCAAGGTATCTTGAAAGTATGACAACAATTAATCCTCCACAATATCCTTATGAAGAAGTCTTGATTCCATTTTATATATAAAGGGGACATGTGAGGAAGAAATGTACAAGCAAGTGAGAAAAAACATCATAGAGAGAAAGTGAGAGAGCTTATATCCACTTTAGTGTAAGTTTTTGTATTCCTAGTGAGATACTAGAGAGTTTGTATTTCCATCCTTTTGTGTGAGATTGAGTGTTATCCTCTTTGTAAAAGAGAGTCAAATATTGTAATCCTACTTTTCTATAATGGAGAAATTTTCTGGACTAGGTCCCATGGTTGTTTCCTTCTCACATTGATGAGGTTTTTCCACGTTAAAATTTTTGGTGTCATTCTTCTACTCTTTCTATTTACTTTATTCACTTGTCGCTTCCGCAAGTGCCCATTTTGCATCACACAGAGGTGGGAAATTGGTTCTGAATTTCCCAATAGTGGTATCAGAGCTCTCAGGTTCATTCGGGGAGCTTAGCCTGTGTACTCCAAGATGGAAGGAGCCGCTAATGTCTCATTTGATGTAGACATGTTCAAGTTGACAACTGACAACTTTTCCTATTGGAAACCCATGATGGAGGATCATTTATATTTCAAGGATATGCATTAGCCTATTTCTTGCAAAGACAAGCCCGAAGGTAAGGATGATAAAGTTTGAGAGCTTTGCAATCGAAAAGTTGTTGCAATGATTCGAAAGTATATCGATAGAAGTTTGTTCGAGCATGTGTCCACATACACAAATGCTTATGAGTTGTGGTCAAAACTTGAATTTATGATTCAAAAGAAAACTCCCAAAAATAAAGCATCTCTTGTCAGAAGATTGGTGAAACTCGACTACAGAGATAGGCAGAACATGATAGAGCACTTGAATTCATTCAAGGGTCTTGTCAATCAATTGACAAAGACAAATATGAAGATTGATGATGAGCTACAAGCACTTCTACTACTGAGTTCGTTGCCTGAGAGTTGGGATACACTGGTGGTCACACTCAGCAACTCTGTCCCAGATGGGAAAGTCTCAATGGACATTGTTTCATACAGTCTATTGAATGAAGAATCCAGAAGGAAAGAACGGAGTATATCTTTCCATTCTGAAGCAAATGTTGTGGAGAGACGTGGAAGAAGTAAAACTCATGAGAAGAATGGATCTCGTGGAAGAAGCAAAAGCAGATTCAGAGGTCACTCTCAA